TTCACAACCAAACTTAATAGTAAATGTATACTATTTCTTTTTTATTCTAGATATATCATCCCTCACTTACCTAATTTCACTATAACTATTTTCAAGTGAAACAACTGCACTAATCCCATGTGAGTATATATTATATATACATATGACAACAAAAGTATTTGCTGAAGCTACGTTTCTTTCTTATCGTAAGTTTCGCTTAGGATGAATCATAGATCACGATCTGAACGATCATTACACAATAACTATAGAGAATACAACATTGATCAACTACTATGTGTCGACATTGTAATTACAAGTCAACCACTCATAGAAATGTCCACGACTACGAGAATTACAAGTCAAATACCGGCAAACCCTAGCAATCCATCACATCATAATTTAACATCGAGACAATTAGCTCGAAGAAGACGACGCCAACGTCGACGACAGCGACTTCGACAACGCCGAGAAGAGCAATTTCGACAAGAGCCCCAACAAAATCAAAGACAAAGGCAACAGCAGCAACGTCCACAGCAGCTACAAGAAAACCATAGGCGAAGACAGCAGCAACAAAGAAACTGGCAAAACCGACAACAGCTAGAACGAAATCACACATACAGTCAACACCATCAAAGACAAGAAGAACAAAGACAAAGACAACAGGAACGACGACAACCAACGTCGATAATAACAGTCCGTCAAATATTCCGAAGCCACAGTGACATCGAACACGAGCATGAATATTATTTGTCACTAAGTTTTCCTGAAGAACTTGATGACATAGATCCTGATGAGCTTTTAGAATTACTTGAACTCGAAAATATGAACCCAGTCGAAAGGGAAACACAGCAACAGCTCAAACAATATGAACAATCCATTCAACAGCAACACGCAAGACACATTCCTCCTAACATTGGACATTCAGCACAATACATAACAGAAGAAGAATTATTAAAAGTCCAACAAGCAAAACCAGACGAAATTGAAAGATATATGGACAACCATTTACTAATATTACAACAAGATCAAATTCATCAACTCTACCAAATTCAAGCAACCGAAGATATTGAAAACGATGAACTTTCCAGAAATGATTAAAACTCAAGTGACTAACAAGCGATATCGGGCCTTTGCAAATAAGCCGGAAAAATTACAACAAAACATACAAAATTAAATGTGTTTCAATAACCCATCATTTTCCCAATCATTTCAATTATTAAATAAAACTTCCGTCTCAAACAACGATCACCAAAACAGATTAATGTAATCCTCTAAAAAAAATACTTCTGATAATTTTAGATGAATCGCAATCCGTCATACAACCATCGCCACAAAACTCACTCAAGGAAACCAACATTAGTAGTCCCCAACAACTCCCACGATATACAGCGCCAAACGACTCAAAACATGCAAATAGCAGCGTAACCATTTCAATCAACTCGATGCCACTGTCCCCTGCAACAGCACACCTTTCCTGAAACCCGCTTCTGATTAGAATTCTTTGATAATTTGTTCAAAAAAATTTTCAGTATGATTAGATATTGACTACTATAGTCCACTAAGATTATAGTTTGAGTTAATTCTAATTGAAAATTTTACACGTGCAAATGTCTTTAAATTTAATTATTATATCGAAATGTAATTCAAATGTTATTTATTTATTAGAATTACTATCTAGTAGATATAATATTAAGATACCACCTGATGAAGTCCCGCCATGCACAGAAACCACTGTTGTCGTGGTTTGGCGATAATTCTAACTCACACACCCACACCCACCCACACCCACCCCCCCACCCCACCCACACCCACCCCCCCACCCCCCACCCAAACCAAACCCATTA